ATTTACACTTGCTTATATACTGTCTACTGAAAATACAAACCTAAATTCATTTTTACAACATGGAAGATTACAAGCTTATCCGAAAATACAAGAATTTACTAATTTCCGCGTATTCTTATAAGAATAGAAAAAATTTCTTAATGAACTGCTTATATGAAAAAATCATTCCATCGGGCTTGTCCAATATCATGAAATCATCTTCACATATTTTCCCTGACTATATCAAACTTTACCTGGAATCATCAGTAAAAGATTTAAAGTTTTCCGAGGAACAAACCTTTTTAAAAGCCACACTTCTAGGACGTGAACTAAAATTGAAAAACAGCATGTCTCGCATCACAGCGGAGAGACTTCAATCCGAAGTGACCAGAATTAATCAAAAACACATCAGGAGTTTAAAACTAAAATTCCATACTTTATGTGATCGCAGCTGTTGGAAGAATATGGGTAGAACGGATCTAGTTACCAATGTTTCCAAAACCACACTCAGCACTTTGGAGATTGAAGCCCTTAGTTTTGGTCTAAAGTTTGCAACTGGTTCAAAAGACCACAATATTAGCAAACTGATAAATATAAACTACAAACATAGTGATTCTGACTTCCTTAAAGGTTTTACCCAAGGCATTTTAGCTGCCTCTTTTAATGGCCAAAATATGGAATTCAATTTACCTAAGAGGTATATGAATGCCTTAAAATCCTTGTCTATGAATAATAACATTATTATATCTCCTTCTGATAAAGGAGGCGGTGTTGTTGTCATGGATACCATTGCTTACAACCAGAAAATGTTGGACTTGCTTAATGACAGAGACACTTATGAACAGATCACCTCTATACAAATTTCTAAGAATCTAAAAAAAGAATTTAATAGGTCCTATAAGAAACTCATATGTAATGAAGATAAGATTTGGCTTTCCTTATTAACTACCACCCGACCGTCCCTAAAATTTATGGCCTCCCCAAAACCCATAAGCTTAACATTCCATTAAGGCCCATCATCTCGGTATAGGCTCAGCTCCTCATAATATCGCTAGGTATTTAACTAAATTTCTAACTCCAATTCTGGGCACCGTAAGTAACGCATATATAAAGAATTCAGGCTCTCTTTTAAATAAGTTGAGAAATATTGATATAGATAACAAATTACTAGCTAGCTTAGACATCAAATCTTTATATACTAATATACCTGTTGATAAATGCATTAAACAATTAGAGAACCACCTTAAGAAAATTGACTTTAAGCTACCTATCTCTATCTCGAAATGCATCAAATTATGCATCCTTTGCACTTCACATTGTTTCTTCCAATATAATAATATTTATTATAAACAAAAATTTGGTTTACCGATGGGGAGTCCTCTCTCTGGATTCCTAGCATGCATATTTCTAGAATTTCTTGAATCTGGACCTTTTAAAGATGTCATTCCACCTGATACACATTACTTTCGATACATCGATGACATTTTATTTATCTACCCACATAAGCATGATTTAAACGAGATTACTGATAGATTAAATAGAATAGAACCTACTATTGAATTTACCTATGAACTTGAATCTAATAATTCCTTACCTTTTTTAGACATATTACTCATTAAAAATAAAAATAAATTAGAATTCAAAGTATATCGTAAACCTACATGTAAAAATGACTATTTACATTTTTACTCTCACCATGATACTAACACTAAGAGGGGTATTGTTATTGGATTCTATTTGAGGGCTCTTCGCATCTGTTCATCAAAATATTTAAATGATGAATTTACATATATTGAGGATACCTTTTCAAATCTTTCGTATCCGAGACAATTATTACAGAGAGCTAAAAATAAAGCGTTGAAAATTCACTCATCAGCGCAAAATGACACCTCAAAGGCCACTACAACTAGATCAATGAAAGATACAATTTCAGCTACCTCTGATAATATTTCGTTTGGTCGCATCTTTTTACCAAATAACCATTTGACCGAACGTATCTCTCATAATCTAAATGCATTAAAAATTAGAACTACTATATTACCTACTAGGACTATCCGTAGTTTATTAAATAGCACCAGCAGACAACATATTACATCCGATGCTTGCATCTATCAAATATCATGCAAAAATTGTGACCTAAAAATATGTGGGTGAAACAGGTAGGTCCTTAAAATCTCGTGTTTTCGAACATAAACGAGATATTCGTCTCGGTAATTTTAACAATGCTTTAGTTGTACACACAACTAAAGCAGATCATAAAAGTTTTTTCATAATTTCGATTCCGTGAAAGTATTAAAATATTTTCATAATAAAAATCTCAGGAGGATTTATGAAGCAGGTATAATATCCATCTCACGCACGGTGAATACTAGACCTGGTTTCTTTAATATTTCCCCCTTTTTGTCAGCGAGATTGATGCTCGACAAGCATACACATAAAATTTTAGAACCTAATAGAATTCTTTTCATTTTCTTTTTTTTCATTTCAAAATAATCACAAACTTTTAGGAATACGTTATGAAAAGCGTCGCCCATGTGACGACAAGTAGTAGTGACCATGTTAGACGGAAGGCTGATCATTTTAAAAATTTTCAGTTATCTGTTCTGAATAAGACTTGTGTTTTTTATGTCCATCGTATTTGTCATATTGAACTGAATTGTATTTTGATGAATATTGTCTTGAAAAAATTTAATAAACCAGAAACGTCAGACGTCGACATTTCTTTTCATTTTAACTACATTTAAGGATTTTTTTTTTGTTTTTTTTGAAGAAATAAAACTGAAAATTTCTTCATTCTGTAAGACATTTCATTATAATTGGACTTGTTTTTAAATGGTATTTCTGGAAGAAATGATTCCTGTGGTTTCAATTTGTATTTCTGTATTGGCACAAAAACTTTGATGCCACCTTTCACCCAGGAAGAGACTTCAGATGAAAATTTCTCAACAGGATGATTAAAAATATCAATAGAAGGGGTGTCAGGAAGAAAATCACAAAACAAATCCCAATTAGTATGTGTTGATAGCTGAAAAGTGTTCTGTTAATAGGGGGTTCTTGCTTGATGAGAAGGTGGAAAGACATATCTATAGATACTACTGCATGGTTGGAGTGGCCAAGAGGACAGGCCTGCAGAGCACGACATGAGATAAAGAAGAGATCAAGTAAAGAAGTGTGTAGAAGGAAGTCTACTATTTGAATGAGAGATTGGTCAATTGAGAAGTTCAAAATCTGGATTCCTGCAAGGTCAGTAGCATTAGAGTAATGAAGCCAATTGACATGATGGTCATTGAAGTTGCTGAATGCAAAGATATTTGTAGATGAGTGTATCAAGCAAGCAACAGTCATGAGAGGATGGTGAAGAATAAAGAAAAAAGTAACAGAATTATCTCAATTGGATTCATTATGGTGAAAGTATTAATAAACATTATATTAATTAGACTTGTTTTATGAAAGTCAATTCCTCACAACTCTGTTTTTTTTTGTCTGATAATGGATGTAATGACGACATATGCAGAACCCTGTTACAGAATTGTAAAAAAATTCAATAGAATACATTTTTTTATTTTTACATATAATTTATTTTGGGGCTTGGATTTTAACATTTAAAAAAAAGATTTGTAGATATTTTCTATTTCTTTATATGCAATAAAACGTTGAAATATGTTTTTGTTTTCGGTTTTAATAATAATTATAACATATTTTACTGCAATTTTCTTATAAAATACTATAAAATGGAAAAATGAAATTTTCCAAAAGTGGAAATGGAAAATCAGGGGCCCTAGAAACACAGGGAAGTCTATTTGAGTGAGAGATTGAGCAATTGAGAATTTCAAAATCTGCATTCAGTGACATTGGAGTAATGAAGACACTTGACATGATGGTTATTGAAGTTGTCAAATGCAAAGATATTTGTAGATGCTTGTATTTGAAATTCTATCAAGCAAGCAACAGTCATGAGGGGGTGGGGTAATGGCAAAAAAAGAAGAGATAACTGATTGAGTTTACTAGTGAAAGTCAAGCACATTTATGAACAAATCTGGAGAGACAAAAGACAGTTCCTTTGCCAGTGGGAAATGCTTGAGAACATAGACACCAATGCCATACATGTGGACACTGGAGTCCTTCTGAAAGAGAGGAAAATAACCAGGAACAGGGAATTCAGTAGAAGAGATTGAAGACTTCAGATTAGTTTCACAAAGAGCTTAGATGTCTGGAGAATGTTCCAGACAAATGATTCTACACTGCACCTTACTAAGAAATTTATCTGAAATACAACTTTGCTACAAAACTGATTCCACCAAAAAATTCAAGTGTTTTTTTATTTTCATATAACCCACATCTACAGTTTGTCTTAGTTAAAATGATACATAAAATTCAATCACACACACAGCTTGACACTTTAAAATATTCTCTGAAATTTCAAGGTTATTATCATTTTTGGTTATATTTTCATTCATTCTTTTTGCATCACATGTCAGCCAATGTTTTTGTTTTGGTCTTCCTTGGTAACATTTGACCTAATTAGGTTCTTTTTTGCCTTTTATAGATGCTTCTGGATTTGGGTATCAAAAACTCCTGCAGGCAGAAATAACTCGGTTGATATTTAAAAAGAATTTTGGTTGCATGACAAGAACTGTATAAATGCTAATTTTCTGCAATACATGAACAAAATGATGACAATATCATTTTTCATTCTATGGAAAAACATGATAATTATCTCTTTTTGATAAACAGCTATGAGCATTTACATGGAATTCCCTACGGGCTTGATATCAACTTTGATCCTCTTAAGTTCTAAATGCATTACTAAGTCAAAAATGTCACCCTCAATTAAATTCATTTGATCTCTAAGGGAAGCTGAATATCCCATTGGCTGAAATATTGTGATAATAAAAAAAAACCAGCCAAGATTAGGATATTAGGCTGAACACCTCACATATATTCATCAAATATTATACTAAATATTTTTGTACAAAAAGTGTGTATATGTAGGTATCTTAGACTGTGTCATTCATTCTCACCTGTTTGGCTAAGTAGTTTTCCAAAATCAGCACCAATTTCTGACAGATTTTCATCTTCATTCTCAGGTGGCAGTGATTGGTAACGATCCCAGTTACTTACAATCTTTCTTCTGCGAAATGACGCTGCCAGTGCGTCCTCCTCCTGAACAGAAATGAAAAAGAAATCAGTCACAGAAGAGAGAATCCGTTCTGAGATAAAAAAGAAAAGTGACTCAATAATCTACATATGGAAAAGGATTTGTAACTGATTAACCACAAACAATAAGTTCTTTGTAGAAACCCCAGATTGTTATTTTTGGTCTCTTAATTTCATGAGAAATTATCTGATGGTAAAAAAAAAAAAATAAATAAACAAGAAAAAGTTATGATTTAATTCTTTAATATGGTCTAATCGTTTAGCATTCAATCCGCTTTGTAAATATGGGTTCCCAATGTTCATTCCACCCCATATATACACTGCCATAATAAATGATAATATATTTGCAAATAACACAGAAAAGTCATGCAAACAATGAGACTTTGAGGGCCGATATTTACAGAGGTGGGTTTGAGTTTATTGAATGCTAAAGGGTGACTTTATATATATGACTATATATTAACATGGCACTCAGCTGTAAGCAGGTCTGTTTGCAGGTCTGTTTCACACATTAAAAAGAGAAGAATTGACAATTTGTTTTTGTAACTACAATAATTTTTTAAAGTTTGATTTGCTTTTTTTTTTCTTTTCTTTTTTTTTCCAATAATGCACACTAGAAGTTTAAATTCAGAATTTCCAAAAGTATGGAAGTCTTAAAAAAAAGGAGGGGGAGAGGAAAAAGCTGCATTTTCTTTTGATGAAAAAAAAATGTAAATGCTGGGTGTTTTTTGTTTTTTTAATATATATATAACTTCTCATTGAACATTTTACTGCTGAAAGGATGGGAGGGTAGCTTTAAAAAAAAAAAAAAAAAAAATTAAATTTTACAGAAATTAGATAAAAATATTTTCTTCTATTTTTTTCTAAAATTTCTTTTTTATATCAGCTGGACAATTTTTATTTTTAATACAACTGAACACATTGAAATTTTTTGTTGCTTGTTTTTGTAACTTGTTCTTGATTAAAGTTACCGCCCCCCCCCCCCAAGAAAAAAAAAAAAACAACTTCTGTTCTCTTAGGGGCTACACATTCAGCTAATAAATTAGTTGAATAAATATTTAATGGCATAATTTTATTTTGTGTTTTAATTTCCCTTAAAAATCGGTATGAAATTTCTAGACATCCCAATATTATCAATATGTGGGATATTTAATAATAAAATGAACACAAAATCATAGAGAAACAGAATGAAATTGGCTAGACTACATATCCAGGCACATGTATAAAAAAAATTTTTAATTTCAAATTTCAGCATTTTCAGTATCTTCTTGTTGCTTGTGTTCTTACATTCCCCCATCTCCTTCTGACACATATAGAATTCCATCAACAAAAATATTACTTTAGCCCAATGAAGTCCTAATGAACAAAACAAATCACAAAATTTTGTTCACTTTACAATTATTGTATCTGACATTGTTTTGGCATATATAATATTCACCTATACATGAGTATCATTTTTGTTTTGATTACTGTATTTCAGCCATTGCATTATTGCTAAAGCAATGTTTTGTCAGCTAAAGCACTATCACTGTATACAGCATATATATTTTTTGTTGCTTGCGAGGCATTTTTGCCTTTACAGTAAAAAAAAAAAAACAAAGCATCATGTGTCTAAAATGCACCTTATAATCTTCCATTTACATAGAGATGCAAAATTGACACAAATAATTTTAAACTTTCTTTCTCAAGAGATAGTGTGATGTGTGCTCTAATCAGAAATGTAAACATATATCTGTCAATAAATTTGACATGTTCTAATATGTTGGAACATGAATGACTAAAAATCAGCATGAAGTTTTTGGACAACCCAATAGAAATGTTGTAAAAACAATAACATAATAGATAATCTAGTGATCAAAGCACCTTTTGTATATTTTTGCCTTGGTAAATTTCTTTCTATATCTTCTTTCTCTTAAATAAAACATTATATGAACACAAAAGAAATCTTTTAAAAAACAACACACAATGCATTAGTTACCCTAATGAGTGTGACCATAATTTTAATTTAAAATATGTTGCTTTAATTAAAAGAAAGCAATTTATTAAGGCAAAAGTGTATAGAATGTTACCAATTAGATTACAAATTGTAAGAATTACTTGATGAATACAACATGAACATCTTTTTTATATTTTTTTAACTAGCCAGGAATTTGGGAAAATATTCTAAGTAATCTAACATTTTATGGAATTTTAGGTACTTTGGCTTTATAGTTTTACCTACTACTTGCTCATGGAAATGTTAGAAAAATAACAATAAATTTTAAATTCAAAATAGTTACCACTCTATTTTCTGATAATGTCATATATGGATATCATTATTTATAAAAATCAATATGTTTATATACACTCAAAAAAATTTAAAATTCTTTTTAAAATACTAGGGGTAGTCGAAATGTAGTTAGTGTTTTCATTTATGAATAGTAAATATAGTTTTCACTTAATAACAATATGACTTAATCACAACAAATTAATACGGAATTTTAAAAGATCTAAAGTTTTATTATAATTAAAATTTAAAAAATATGAAAAAAAATTCTTGTAAAAAGTCTTTTATTAATTATTAAGACAATTGCAATTGCATTTTTATTTTTTGACTCAGAGATTTTCTATAACTGGGGTCCAGTTTGATAAAAAAAAATTGATAACTTTAACAATTTGTCCTTATAACATTAAGCTTTACAAAAATGAAACCTCAAATTAAATAAGTGGAGTGGGGTAACAGATGTTTAAAAAAAATTTACCAAGATTTTCTAGAAAAAAAAAAAAGAAAAAAAGTTTCTAAAATAACTAATTTCTGACAAAGTCCTGAAAGTTCCATTAAAATTCAATAAGTATCTGATTTTTGCAAGAATTTCCAAATTAATGTGTTTTTCAGCTCAAAAAGAAATGTTAAAATTACCTATATTAAGTTATGATCACCTTTTGACACGAGAAAAACAAAATTTCAAAGGTTCTAAAAAGGATTTAAAAAAATACAATTTAATAATTAAAAAATCCTTAAAAATTCCTCTTAACATATGATTTTGTTTTGGCAATAAACTCAAGGACAAATGTACCAGTGGATAAAATGTTGGTTTGATCCAGTCAGTGGCATAGCTAGAGTAAACGTCACCCAGGGCGGTCCACTCAAATGTCACCCCAATGACCCCGATTCACCCTATGCTGAATGGTTAGCTGTAGCTAAATTTTCATACATGCTCTACCTCTACTTTACTCTACTAACTGGTATGTTACTGTTTACATGTATGATCCAAGACAAAATCCAATACCACAAAATAATCAGTTCAAATCAAAAGATTTTTAAAATGCAACTGTTCACTTTCAGAACAACTAAATACAAAACACAGCAATACACAAATGACATTCGATACTATGGTCTTAGAATGAATGTTTTCATTGTGGCAAACTGGTCAATGACATCGTCAAATTCTGTTTGTCTTGTAAGCTCGTTTTCAATGGACAGCACAGCCAGATCCGACAGTCTCAACTGGCTCATGGGTGACATAATTTTCTGTTGCTAATTTTCCTGTGTCCAATTTTCCGTTGCATCATTCTCTGGGTACCATTTAATTATCAATGATGTTTGAAAGTATTTTTTCTTGACAAAAATGTTCTATTTAATTTTTAAGCATTTTTCAAGAACATTGTAAATCAACTGCATTCTTTTAAAAGGTTACCTAGAGAATTTATGCAAAGTTTATTTTTTGTTTTTTTTTATACAAGTAAAATAAATTTACATTGTATTTTGATGTTATTATGATTTTAGTTTTAGTGATAATTTAAAAACAATAAATATTTATCATTAGTACCAATAATGGAAAATTAAGTTCAAAATTTAAAAGAATCGTTTTTGGAATTGGAAAATAGCCACAAATTTTTCCGTTTCCGATACCCCAAAAAGTTCTGATTTTTCCGATTCTCGATTCCGATTAATCGTCCCAACACTATTAGATATATTCAAAAGTATATTGCTCACTCAATAGAAAATTGTATCTCAGCAAATTGATACACAGGCAAGACTAAAATTGTTACACTTTTGGTTTTGTATTTCACTTTGCTGTTATTAATGATGCAGAGTTAAAACACCATATCATCCGATAAAATGTTACAACAATGTCTCTTGTTAGTAACCAAGATTGTATCAACTGAAACACATGAAAGCTGAAAACATTGCTATTTTTCCTACCCACAAATTTCCCGACAATTTATTAGAAAATTTCTGACGGGGGGACAAAACTTGGGGGGGGGGGGGGGTCATATGCCCGCCTGCGAAAACCCTGTGTCGCCACCACTGTTTTCAGACTATTTTTGGCTCCTTAGCCTGGTTGAAAAATTTTGTTGGGGGTGACATTGTGTCACCCCTCCTGTGCTGGCCCCCGGGGTGGTCCCCCCCCCTAGCTACGCCACTGGATCCCGTGACTTGGGTTCAATACATGGCTACTGCAGTGGTGAACAAAAACTTGGAGAGTTGAGTTAAAGGGAGATAACTGAGATATCCGGAAAAGGCATGGCACATGGAACTAGAACAATCCTTTTCTGGACGAATTAAAGGCTTCAGTTCGAAATTCCAATCACCCACAGAAGGTTGGAATGTTGTGAATATGACAATAAAGATGAGGACAACAATCCAAATAATGTAACTAAAACTTTGTTTCTAATTAAGTTTAGGGTACTTTCTCAACATGTATGCTCATTTTTAGCAAATCTTGAGAGATGCCTAAAATAATCTTGTGCTTTTTTTTTTTTTAAAATAAAATGATTTAAAAAAATCCTTTAACTTCACCCACTTGAAGTGTCTATTGCAGAGTTTATTTTATATTTATTTTTAAATTTCCAGATATCGAATTTTCAATAAATTTTTAAATATATTTTATAAATTGTACTAAAACAGGACTAAAATAGACACGCACACATCCTTGAAAACACATCTTTAATTCTTTGAGGTTAAAGTTTACAGTTTATATTTGATAGCCTTTAAAAAGTATTTTATTTAAAGATTTCAAACATTTTTAAAACAATGACGTAAAAGCCAAATCTAGGGTTTGAAACATTTTTTAAAGCTTCGTCTATGTTACTGTTAATTAATTTAAAAAGGGGAGGCACGGTGGGGTAATGGATAGCACGGACTGAGGAATCAGAGAGCAGAGTTCGAATTCCACTCGAATCCATTACATTCATTTACATGCTAATACTCTTGGGAAAGGTATTAATCCTCTTCTCCTCTCCCCAGCTATGGGTAAATAGTAGGACAGATGGATGGCAACTGGTCTATCACAGAAAGAAATGGCAAACTACTGTGGGGGAAAAAATCTGCCTCGTCAGTCATGTATCGAAAGATACATGATCGCCTAAGCGTGTATCACGCATGACATATATAACTGACTGAATCTAAAAAACTGTTACCGTGTAGAACTAAATAAACAAGGAGAATTATTGATTAAGTCAAGATTCGTTTCAGAGTAAGAGTTTTTTTTTTTTGTTTCGTTTTTATTAAAAGACACTAAGTTTGTTTAATTCAAATATGACTTTTTTCTTTTTGAAATTTGTTTTCATTTTTGAGAAAAATTTATTAAAAATAGAATCGCGTAGAATGGTTCCAAAGTGGGGTTTCAGTTTACAATACAAGTACAATGTCAAATTGGACCGGGTCTTTGTGCCCAAATTTGCATCAGCTGATGTTCAATTTAACGTGTAAATTGAAAGTAGAACTGGACCCTGACTTTGTGCCCATTTACGTAAATAATTGCGAATAGTTAAGCAAAACATTCAATTGGAATAAAATCAATATTTATTTTGAATTTGTTTTTGTTCTTTTTATAACAGTGGCACTTTTTTGGCAACCATATTTTTTTTACGTAAACAAAAACTAGCACAAAAAAAAATCAGGGTCCAGTTTACCGTTTTTTACATTGCGAAATCATTCTTTAAGTTTACTCGATCTCACTTCTTTTTTTTTTTAACTTTAAAAAATAAAATGAAAATCCTATTCAAACGAAACAAAGAGTTGTACAATACTAGGCACTACGAACAGAATCTTTTTTTTTTTTTTTTTTTGTCATGAATCACTCCAGATCAATAATATTTTTTTTAATTAAATTTATAAAAATTATGGACGGGGGTCTAGTTTGCTATGTAAATTCATTGTAAATTTTTATATATTGCAAATATTGATTCAGAGTCAAAAAAAAATAAAAAATTTATTTTTTACATTTTAAAAAAATGTAAAAAAATAAATATTTTTTTAAAATTTAAATTCGTAATGGATAGTAATTTTTTTAATTTCAAAGAAAAACTCCAGATTACGAATTTCAAAATTTATTTTATAAAAATAAAATTAATTTTTTTTATTTTAAGAAATCGCGTGGAAAGTTCATTTTTTTTTTTTTTTTATTGTTTCCGAGATCATTATTTTTATATAGCAAATGCAAAACTGGACTCTCTCCTAAACTTATTGAATAAGAAAAAAAAAAAAAAAAACATTTCTGGTTGCATTGCCTTCCTTGTACAATGAAATCAGAAATTCATTTGCGTTTCTGTCTGAAACTAAAAAAAAGGTGTTTTTATTTAAATTTGTATCTCTTTATTGAAGTGAATGATTTTTTTTCTTTTTCGTTTTTTATTAATAAAATGAACTTTTTATTTCGAGGAGCTTTTTAAAACTAAACTCGTGTTTTTCCTCCTCCTAAGTCAACTTTTTATTCCAACTTCGAAAGGCAGCATACATTTTTTTTTTCAAAAGTAATTTTTCACACAGGTTTCAAAACAACGAAAGTCCGTTGTTCAAACTAAAAACTGCCATAATGACTACATAAAACAACGAATATTCAAGAAAAAAAATAAAATCTTATAGACTTTATTATTATTATTATTTCTTACCTCAGCCGAAGATTCATCCTCCTTGCTATTATTTTCATTCTTGGACGTTAAATTCTTAGTCACATCTTTTGTATTGTTCACTTTTTCAGGTGCTTGCCATTGAGTAGAACCCTGTCCAGAACCGGCTTTTTCTTTATTATTTTTGTTGTTGTTGTTATTGTCGTCATTCTTTGGTTTGTCGCTGATACCATGTTTTTTCTTATACTGTGTACTTCGTTTCTTTTTGTGTTGGTCAGGCCTCATGATTAAGGACCAACTTTTTTGCTGTTGTGTTTTGCTTGACTTCTCGAATGGACGAACACCGGCAAATCGAATGTCGAGTTATCTGCCCTTGCACTTTGTAGATTTTAACATGATTGTTGAATGAAAACCTGTAACAGTTACACTAATAATTAGTGTTATTGTTACAAATTACATCTGTTTGCATCAAGCTACTCTTCTGAATGGTTTTTAAGTAGATCAATAAGACTATATCCTATCCTAGGATGTAAATATTACCTAAAATTTGATCTGAAGTTTTCACTATATAATGGTATTTTGTAATATTTTAGTATTCACCAATTTAACTACATTCATTATTTACATTATTTGGGCTATGATAACAGCAAAAATTGCAATATGCGCACTGGTAAAAATGGTTGCTGAGACATTAGGTTTATAATATCCAGAAATTCATACACAGTGGATAAAGGCATTGGTTAGGACCCAAAGAGTGTGAGTTCAATACCCAGTTCAGAGGGAAATTAACAGGAGATAACTGACATCCATTAAACATGGCAACTGGAACTAGAACAGTCAACCCAGTGAGCGAAATAAAAGGTTCAGTTCAACATTCCAACCACCTGTAGAAGGCCAGAGCGTACAATGACTGAAACGTTGTAATAAATATGGCGACAAAGTCCGAATAATGTAAATAATGTACATAATACCTCATCTCAGAAATATAGACAGATACTTAACTACATTGATTAAAGAAAATAAAGATTATGTTGTAATAAACAAATATTTACTGTGTAAATTTTTCTTTTATCAATAGACTTTTACTGGTAGTTTTCAACTGCATTTATTTAGTTTTTAGTTTCAAAATAGTACAGGAAACATTTGCACAGATCTTACAGTAGAATTAATGAATGGATTTATTTATATTTTTAATCTGGCATTTTTATTACTTTGTAAATGTTATTATAACGTGTGAGTTAATAAAAGTAAGTAAATAATGAACAAACTGGGATAGATAGCAAGAAAAATTAGAAAGTCACTTTTTTTTGTCTATGCCTTTGTTTCTTTGCTTCTGACTTGTGCAGCAAAAATCTTAATAATTTAGAATAAGGAAGACTGTGTTCCATCTAAGTAGGGATGGGGTCTGATCTGTCTATAAAATCAATATTCAAAATCCTGGTTCCAAAAGATAAGGAGTATACGAAATTCAGTTCTCCATGATTTTTATCCGTACATCCAAATTCTAAACAAAAAATAAAGAAAACAACATGGTTGTGCCTGTTAACAGATTGCAACAGCTATTAGGAAGATGTGATTAAATACATTTTAATGTTTAAAAAAAATTATTCAGTATTATTATTGTTTAGGTAATAAGCATTTTAACATAGCACAAATAAATATATTGTAGAAAAAGGAATTTTCGACAATATATGCATTTTTTATGCATTTATGGTTATTTTTTGAACTTTTATCAAAATAACATTATTGTACATATAGTTATGAATAATATTATACCTTAATTACTATTCTTTTTTAATTAACAGCTATTTTTGCTCAGTTGTTGATATTTGCTGATGTGTTAAAATTTTAGAATAATGCAATAATAAAAATTTAAATTTTATCTCGCTGATAGATGTTGCGATCATCATTTGTATTTGTCAATATACAGGGTCATCCAAAAGTCCTGTCAACCCCCATCAGAAGAGAACAATAGAACAATAAGTTAGACAGTAATACAAAGCACATGTACTGGATTCAGTTTATTCACTTTCACTGACATTGTCACACATTGAGAATGAACAGCATCATTTTTGTGACTAAAACTGATGCGGCACCATGTCCTGGGTGATATTTTACAAAGCTGTGCTTTGTTGATTGTTGCAAAGGCTCTCCAAACAGTGTCTTTCAACTGATGGGTATTCTGGTATCGTTCATGTGAAACTCTCTCCTTGATAATACCCCACAGAGCGATGAAATAGAAAAATTATACTATGTAGAGGTGACAAGACTTTCAGACAACCCTGTATGAACATGAATTTAAAAGAGTTAAAATGTATTAAATATAGTCTTTCGTTGAGTTAAAGTCTTTGGGTAGTTGATCTACAGAACAAAACTGTGGTTGAAAAAGGACTTTGTTAGCAAAAATTCACTAACCATCTTTGTAGTCGTTGGAGATAATTCATTTGAAATCACTGTTTAAAATCATGTTTCTTTCCAAACACCATTTGAAATTATGTTTCTTTCAGTATGTGCTGGAGAGAGACAGTTGCATATCTGCTCTCTTGAGTTCAGCATGTAGAAAGCCACTTCTCTGATCCTGAAAGTTAAAATATGGGGGTTTTATAAGAAATTTTTCCCAAAAGTAGGCTTGGTAGGGTTTTAGTTTTCTCTGGTCAAATATTTCACATGGTGATGTTAATTTCTAACCAATAAACATTTTGATTTAAAGGGTGTGTGTTTCATTGTGGAATCTTTTTTGCTTTTTTGCAATATTGTCTGTTATTGGATATAAAATAAAGTTTGGATGTGTTTTATATGGTATGTATGTGGGTATGTAATTGTGTTGGAAATAGTATTTCTTTCCTATAAGAGGAAAAAAAAAACTTTTCCAGTTGTGAGGCAGGTGATTTTTTCCTCCTTCATTATGTGTGTAACTTTAGTGTTTGTGAAGAGAAATAAACTTTAAAACCTATCTATACAAATTAAGATTTGGTGAAACAAAGAAATTATGCAGGTTCAAATTATAGCAGGCCCATTATTAGAACCTATCTGTTAATCTGTTTGTATTGAAAATTATTAATGAAATACAATATCCCTACTAAGTGGATATCAATTTAAAATCAAGTTTAATTCACTAATAATTTATGGAGAAAGATAAAATTTACACAATATTTAAAATTTATATCAAATCTGCAAAGTTTCAACTTTTAGGCATTTATAGTTATTAAGTTATAATAGATGTTTTACTTACCAATTAAGACATTTTCAAATAGAATTTAACATATTTCTGTAAAATATTCGTGCAGATCCTTGTAACTTTTAGTCGGTCCATTCTTTTAGTATAAATAAAGGACAACATATCAAGTAATGAGTCAAAGTAAAAATGTCTTCTCTTTCCTATGTCTATTTCCAGCAGCACAAAAATTTTGCCTTCCAACCAAAAAACTTGAGTCAAAACATACTTTGAAAAATCACATCAACAATTTCACTTCATCTGCTTTCTTCTTTTTCTTCTTATTTGTGGACATGTTGTATATTTTAACTAAACCAAATTGTCAGCCCTGTCTCAACTTTCCACATATACTAGAGGAAGATTTTTTTTTGTTGGAGATGATTAATGAAAAAATTGATTCTCCTGACTTCTTTCACCCCAATCTAAATTCCAATTTCTTTTCCTAGAAAATATCATCATAGATCCAAAATAAGAGCTGGTAGAATGGTTAGCTGATTGCAAAAAGAAACCAATGAGCTAAGTTTGAATTCCAGTCAAGTTTGTTATATTCACTTTCATGCAAATACCCTTGGGAAAGGTCGGCATCCAGCTCTTTGACATCAATGCATGAATTATTTAAAATGTGGATATTTGAACAGATTCCAATAATGTTCATTCAATTCAATACATTCAAAAAATATTTCTTGTAGCAGAGTCAAATTATGATCAAATTCAGATACAATAAACATTGCATTTTCATTACAACATTGTGTATTGTTTTTAAGATTAAATTTGTTAATGAAATGTGCAGCTAAAAGTGTATGCAGTGAATGTGGAAAAATCAAGTCTTTAAATAGTCTTACATCATTGGTGAAAGAAGATTTGCAAAAGATTATCTTGAAAAAACTGTTGTGTTTCATTGATAAATGGAAACAGAAGTTATAATTGGAGTGATTAAACTGCTGATCATTTAAGCATCTATTGAATGGACTTAGCACCAAATAATTTATTTTCTACTAACTTTTAATCAGAATAATAAAAGAATATGGTTTCTTTCAAAATCTTAAGTACAAGGAAAACTTCATAGGCTAATTATAAAGAAGTGGGGCTAAAACTGTGAAATCTTGTATGCATTAATTTCAACCAGGGCTACCCTTGAATCCTCTGGCTGAAGTGGAGGAGCCTGATTGGGGGTCCCTGAGCAGTGACTATCATTATTTTATTAATATTTGCTTTTTTTCTACCTACACTTATATACATTACAAATTACACTAGCCACAACTAACTATTAAAGGATGAAAAATTTTGACCTCATTCAGGGGTCTTTTTATTTTGTTCAAATTCATGAATTTGTCTTGCTCATGCTCAGACTTGAAAAAAGACATTATATAAAATTCACTATTTTTTTATCCATAACTTTGAGTGCATTAGAATTATTCAATTTTATAACAAGAAAAATCTTAAGTTGATGTTAAAATTACTGCAAAAATCATTAAGATAGAATGATCTATTATGATATGTCTCTAATTTGTATTTGAATACATTGTATTTATTTTCAATTTTTCTACTTGAATTGTTCATTTATATTACATATGATCCATTATTGTACATAATTAGGTTACAATAAATTTATATTTTATATGAATACCTTATGAAAATTGAGATGTAGTAGTGTGTGTGTGGGGGGGCATATCATAGATTCAGCCCACCCTACTTATTATTTACACAACCTATTTTGTGTAAATAATTCACACAACCTTTGTAAACAAATTCTTGTTAATTTTTATCATTGTAAGAATTTGATTTGAAAGTTCTTGGCTTCATGGTTAAAATGTTATTTATAAAAATGTACCAACATTGTGACTAAAAAAGAAACTGGTGACAATAAAATATTGTCAGCTATTTTTGACTTGTCTTTTATCTTGTAACTTAATATTTGTGAAGAAAAACTTTAAAAATTCATATAAATTAAGATTTGGGCAGATGAACAAATTAAGATCTATATAAATTAAGATAAACAAATTAGATTCATATTATAATGGACACATTATTAGAACATATGTGATTAATTAATCAATTTCAAACAAAATAA